CCACCCCCCGCCCCCTCCCTCACCAACCCCCTTAACTCAAGGTCTGGATCCGCCACTGCAATAAAAGAGCAATTTCACTGTACTACAATGGTTTTAACTGACCCACAAAACTCCTTTCATTTTTCTTTTAACAGTAAGACCCATTGCCTAGTTAGATTAAAAGTTAAACTTTATGGTTTCTGCTGTCGTAGAATCTTACCATGACCTCGTGGGTAGTTTTGTTCGGTAGAGTCTGCAGTAAGGCTTCCAGTTTTTCATAGTCCTGCTTGAATCTCTCACTAAATAAGAACAGAACGACGCACTACAATAAATACACCTTATGAACGCACCAAAATAGCTAGGGTACAAAAATATGGAGACAAAAGGTTCATCGGCATGGCTTACCACGTGAGAAGCCGTTGTTGGCGTTCCAACAAAGCCTAAAATTAAAAGTTCAAAACCCGGTTAGAAATAAACGAAAAATTCAGCCCTCTGGTGCCTAAAACTCGCCCTAACCTTTCTGTTTTCTTCCTGTAAGCGAGATATTTGCGAGAATTCAGACATTCTCGTCGCAAAAGGCTCATAGTGAAACTGTCTCGCTCCTTCGGTCCGCCATGTTGCTTCCTAACAGTCTCCCCCACCCTGCTCGGATGGAGTTAAATTTAACATTAAATTACCCATAGTTCAATGCCATCATCGACTTGTCAAAAATGGCGGTCGATCCAAGGGAACCGTTGTTTACAAATTTACACAATTAATTTGCGACACCACAGGAGTGGCCACAGCTGGTTTGACTTTCTCATGGAGAACTACATTTTGTACGACGAGGTTGGGAGGGGAGAACACTCGGTCGTCTATAAAGGCCGTAAGAAAGGAACCATTGAATTTGTGGCGATTCACTGTGTCGAAAAATGCAAACGTATTGAACTTCGAAATATTGTTAGACTAACCCATGAAATGGACCATCCAAACGTAGTAAGGTTTCACGAGTGGTATGAAACAACTAATCATATTTGGATGGTGGTCGAATTGTGTACAGGGGACAGCTTGGACGCTGTCTTGACACAAGATAAATGCCTTCCCGAAGAGACTGTCAGATGTTTTGGAGTTGAAATTGCAAAAGCACTTTTCTACATTCACTCCCTTGATATCCTTTATTGTGATTTAAAGCCATCGAGGATCATGCTTGATGGAGCAGGAGTCTTAAAGTTAAGTGATTTTGCACTTGCCAGAGTAGAGGGTGAGGATGACTTTTATGACAATTTGCTACAAGAACAGAACTCTGATGGTGACGACGAGGACCAAAATTATAGGGGCACTGAGAGGGAGCAAGGCAAAAGGCCTAAACCATCACCTCATTACATGGCCCCTGAGGTACTCAATGGGGGGCCTCATTCCAAAGAAGCTGATTTGTGGTCATTTGGCTGTGTCCTATATGAAATGTTTATGGGCGAACAACCTTTTGTTGCAGATTCCTTTCCAGAGCTTGTGTCAAAAATCTTTAGAGATGACTCCCCGCATCTCAGACTGAAAACAGAGGCTGTTACAAATGACGGGTTACGAGAGCTTGACAATCTGATACAAAGTCTCTTGGTGAAGGATCCAGAACAACGTTTAGGCTGGAGAGATTTAATAGTGCATAAGTTTTGGAATGGTGAACTGGAACATCAGTTGAAGTCTGGTGAAGGAAATGATGAAGCAGCTGCAATTGAGGACCAACAAGAATCACGGCCAGAAGAGTCAGATGAACACTTACCCAGTGGATTTGTCAATGAAGACAAAGAAAAGGTCATCTCGAACAATGATGTGCTGAATCTGCCAGACCAAGTGGTCAGGCAAGGAACATACACCTTCAGTAGCAGGCCACATACTGCTGATTCAGCATCAAGCAGTGGAGAAAATAAATCCTTAGGGAAAACACAAACAGTAGCAAGACGAACAAAGTCAGACGATCAGTATGACAGTACTTCCAACTCAAATAAAACATCAAAACAGGCTGGAAAGAACTCTAATGCTTCAGCTTCTAAAGCAAAGAGCAATAAGTCAACGCCATTGAAACAGAATCAAACATTCAATAAAAGGGACTTCAATGGATTGAAACAGAATGGACCTACTCAAAATGAAGTTCAGGAATTAAACTCATCTTTGGTGCTGGGAGTGCAGGAAGATGAAAATAGTGGAAATCAAAAGAGCATTTCAGATCTGGCCAATCACCCATCTGATTTTATAGTAACGCCAATTGCTGACAACCCAAAAATCAAGAAATTTGCCCTTCCTAAGTGGGATTCTAAGGCATTGCCTTGTCAGCCTTTGAAACCAGGAGAACTTGTAGACCTTCCAGAAGTTAAATTTGAAGAGCATTTGAGTGCTATCAGAAGCTTGTTGTGTCAAAGTGACAAATCAACTACTGGTCCTATTGCTGCTCTTCACAGAAGTAAACTGCACACATCATCTTATTTGGCATCACTCTGCCGTGATGGAGAGATTGCCAATGTAATCTTTGATTCTGATTTTATATCTGCTGTTTTGAGGCAGATTAAGTCTGGCTTTTCTGCAGATTTTAAAGCAAGGCTTGGTAAGTGCAATACTGACCACTGAGTACATCAAAACAGTCAACTCTCTCAAGTAAAGTTGGACATCACAATATAGTAGGCACCTGTCTTTGGCACTGTGGTCTGCTGGCTAGACCTGGCCAAATGTCTCTTGTTTAGGACACCTCTATGGAGGACTGCCAGACAGCTTTGTAGGGTAGATAGTCAGAGCTGGCCTTAAGGGTGTCCAGCTTAGTGCAATTTTATGTATTTAGTCTATGGGGGACATTTTATAGAGTTCACTCTATGTGGGACAGCCAGACAGCTTTGTAGGGTAGACAGTCAGAGCTCACCCTGTGGGTGTCCAGCTTAGAGAGAGTTCACTGTATTGTTGATCAAGTATAATGGAGGGAGATTTCCTCTACATTGTAAATGAAGACTGTATTCCTACAGGCTCGTCTTTGGCTTTACATAGCTATCTTAGTACAAGTGTGGGAGATACCAGTATGGTGACCTGGGTCGTCAGGATGTTGGACTACAGATGGCGCAGTCCCATTTTGGGCACTGGCTCGGGGTGTCACTGTATTATTTTCAGTGGCAAGACATTTAACTTTCACAATGCCCCTCTCCCCTCAGGAGTATAAGTGGTCATTGGCATTTGCCATTAGGGCAACCTGAAAATATGTTACCTACAGTGGACTAGCACCCAAGCAGGGATAATCTTAGTTGCTCCATTTTATGGAAACTGGAATAAGCTTTGTGTGGACGGTTTGACTCAAGTGTGGCATTACTCTACCTAATTATGCATAGCAGTTGTATTGATTAGTAGGCGGCTGTCCCTGTTAAACAAAACTGAAACTAATTCAACACCCCATTTTCTAGGTTATGCCCTCAGTCTTTTAGCTGGTAATGCTACCATGATTTCTGAGGACTTCAACATGACAGAAGTGTTCACAGTACTGACAGAAGTGATTAGAGACAATTTTCGGAATGCCAAGCTCAAGCAGCATCTGTTGCCAGCACTGGGGGAATTTCTGTTTTATGCTGCAACTCAAGAGGAAAATTTGGGCTGTGCAATTCCACAGTGGGATGTGCCAGGTAATTTTTGCATGTATCAGAGGTTTTAATAATGGCCAAGCACTGGGCAAATGGACCCACTGCCTGTTTTGACCACCTAGAGGAATGCTTTTCTTATATAGAAGTTGAGTTCAGAAAGTTTTCCCTAGCTGCAAAATCTTTCCTACTGAAAACATTAGTGAAACCCCTGATGTGTGAGTCTTGTTTAACAATGAAAATTCGAGCAATTTATTTATTGTAAGTAACGCTCTGTGAACATTTACATGTGCCACTGGCTTATGAGAAGAAACACTAAAGAGCAGACACGTGCCTGTCAAATAAACCTTTTCAGATGAGTACAGTTATTACTGCAGTATTCTGGTCGCTGTGAACAGACATACAATCCATGGACTGACACTTCACATTTGCTGACAGACATTTTCTGTTACAGAAAATTTATCATTTATGATATATTCGTCAAATTCCTTCAACATAACTTCGGTTTGTCTGTTTTAGGAGTTACATACACCATCATCACCAGATGTCTTCATGAAGGTGAAGACATTGTGGTCCAACACTTTGCTGCAAAATCAATTGAGAATGTGGCATCTACCCATGGCAGGCATTGCAACAAGTTTGTGACAAATGATACAGCTCAGGTCAGAACTGAATAGAGAAGCACTTAATTTAAAATTTGTAGCATCTTCTGTATTGAGTGTATCACTCCAGTAGCGTGAATCTTATCAATCTCCTTCGCAGCTGGTACAGTGGAACCCTGCCTTACGGCCACCCGTCTAATACGGCCACCTCGTTATTACGGCCACTTTATTCTGGCCTGAGCAAAAGTTTAGTCAGTCATTTTCTTATTTAAAGAACCCCTTTAATACGACCACCCTGTTAACACGGCCAGATTTTTGTGGCCCGACTGGCTTAACAGGTTCCACTGTACTTGGGTGGTCACGCAACACTGCAGTGCGTTGCGTGACCACTGAAATAACCTCCTATAAAGGAAACTAGGATCTTATTGAAAATTTAGATTTTTTTTTTTTTGCTGTAGCTTCTTTGGAATTTCTTCACTCACTGCACTGTTGATGCCCAGAAGGTCACGGCGATTTCAGCCCTAAGTCGCTTGACAAGCCACATGCCGTCTGTCTTCCAACATGTGATAGAGAAGGCGGGTTTCAAGGCAGTAAGCGCAGCCTTATCCAGCAGTGTGCCCAAGATCCAACAAGGCTTGGTAACAATGTTTGTCATGCTGTTGTCCACGAGACCTCAGATGCGAAGGCTTGTTCAAGAACGAGACTTGATCACCAAAGGTCTGCACCTGTTTGAGAGTCCCTCGATGGTCATTCGCGGGAAAGCATTTCTGTTGGTCCTGACCATGGTACAGTCCAGTCCAGAAGCTCTTTTGTTGTGTTGTCAGTCAAGGCTTGTCATGTATATTGAGCGCCAGCTGAAGCGAGGCACCCCTGTCAAAGGAGAGAGCCCAGAAAATCGAGACTATCTCGTACAGTGTCAGAATCTCTGCGTGTCTGCCATCGTGGATGCCATGCCTGGTATTCTATCCGATGTGTTGGCATCACTGGATGCGGTACAAGGACGGAAGCATCCCTCAGCGGGACAAGCCAAACAGTTACGAATACACCTCCCGCTTCTGTCAATCATTCTACACCTCGTAACAAGTCACGCTTTCCGTTCTCATGTCACCAATGAAGAATTTCTTGCCAATGTCGGCCTGCTTTTGTCGCATGTAATCTCCATTGACTCCGGCAGCACCAGCATTGGCTCAGCAGCTGGTCCGAACGCGGCGGAAGATCTCATCAACGTGGTATTGTCCATCGCTGAAGCAATCACGCAACACCCTCCCATACTCCTGCAGTATCACGCTATCGTCACGCAACACATCCTGCCTCATCTGGCAGCGCTAATGAGCAGTTCTAGTGGAGATACAAGAGTGTTGAGCTTCAGGATGTTTGCTGATGTAGCGTCGCTGTATTTAGATAGCCAGAATGTGTATAATTCTTCCAGTAATGTTGAGGATGTGTTGGCCAGCACAAGGAAACTGAACGAGGTAGGACAGGCTGTTCAACATTTAAATACCCCTTACTTTTTCCTGCTCTTTCTATAATGTCCCGTAGGAGAATTTAGGGTCGTCAAAAGTAATTAGCTGCAAAAATCACCACTTATTTCCTTATCTCCACCGGTTAATCTGCCGGCTATTCACCTGTTTCTTTCTAAAAAGATTTCGTCCGCCCTTTTCAACATTAAGACAGCGTCCACTCTACGCCGGAGCTTTATTTCTACAGTTAGGCCTAACGTCCACACTGATCCGTCTCGAAAACGAAGCTTTTCCAAAACGTTCTTCAATCCAGAGGAATTTGAAAACGCCGGCTTTGCGTTTTCGCGTTGACGTAAAGCATTTTGAAAACGAAGCTTTCGCCCTACGACAGAAAAGTTAGTAGCGTAGCCAATAAGAGAACGGCATTCGCGATAGAACGTTAGTAGATTTATAGAGCGTTTTCACACATGCGAATTTATTGAAACAAAAGGAAGTGTTTAAATAAGAAAAGAGTTCAACTCCTACAGGATTGGTTTGGTACACCAACATGGCCGCCGTTTCATTGTTTTGGAACACCAATATGGCTGCCGTGACGTCATGTGAAAACGCTCTATACATAAAGAATAGGGAGTTCACCTTGGCCACCTGTTAAGTCAGTAATCAGTGAGTTTTTTATCTTTATTCTTTTGTGACAGGTCATTAATGACCACTTACTGCCCCAGTATCACCTCATCCTTCAAGACCAGGATCCTTTGCCAGCCTATGGCCTGAAGCTGTTGTTGTCGTTCCTGGAGCGTAGCCCTGATATCATCCACACAGTCGTCAATCAAAAGCTTCTGCTCACCGTGTCCGAGGTCCTCCAGGCCCACACTGACCGAGTGGACAGAGGTATGGTGCTGAGCATGGTTGGGTTACTTGACTGTTTAGTGTCTGCTAAAGATGTTGATGTGTCCTCGCTGTACGATCAAGGTTTGATTGACAGCCTCGTGTCGGTGTTCGCAGATATTGCTTCAACTCAAAACGATGAAAACGACGCGTCGGTGGCCATGTTACTTCCCCTTCTTGATTCTTTGAACAACACACTGAAGTACGTCTCCAGAGAGGTCCGCAAAGCTCTGCAAGCGAAAACCGAGCCAGGACCTGAAAACGAGGCTCAAACACAGCTGGCTGAGAAGCTTCTTGTTGAGAGTAAACCGCTGGTCGACATGACTGGCGTGCTTATCAACTACCTCTGTCACGAGGACCCGGATGTTAGAGACAGCGCGTGTAGGTGCTTGTACCTTATGGTCGAACTGTTTGGAGGGATATACGAGGACTCCTTGAGCACGGAGAACATGGAGTGCTTTGCGGAGGCGTTGAGCACCGCTGACATTAAGAAACAGAAGCAGCTTTTGCGAATCATCAAAAGACTGATTTCTTCAAATTCACCGCTTAGTGATGCAGATGAAAATGGTTGGCAAGGTTTCATTGATGTTCTTCAAGGACTTGTGAATACGAAAAACTCCACCAGCGCGGAAGAAGCTGCTGTTCAAGGCCTTGTACAAGAAATTCTTGTTAAACTTGGCCTAACGAAATAGCCCGGTGCTCAGTGAAGTGTTTTCTATTTGTGTTTTCATTTAGTCTTGGCCTGGAAAGGATAAGACTAAGAAAGAGAAAGAGAAAGAAGCGAAAAGCGACCATCCTTGTACCCAACATTCCATAAAAACAACGCTTTGTATGTCATTGATAAATTCATAACTGAGTGCAATTGTTTTCAGAAGCGGTTTGTAAACTTTTGCCCTGCTTCGGCAGTAAGTAAAACAAAGTACATTCTCAAGCTTGTCTCGAATTTGATCATAGTAAATAAACCCCTCTGGTGTAAGACTCGTGGAAAAAACTTTGGCCCTTCGCTGGAGCGTTAAACGTTTCTTCCAGCGAAGGACTTAACATTTTTCGACAATAACTTGACAGATCCATATAAAGACTGCTTGAACCCCGAAACCTGCTTCAGGGTAAATAAAGACAAGAGACTTTCATCTACTACCGCAGTTCATATATGAATTATTTCATATAAACTTCACATCATCTCACTCCTCACGGGAAGATATGAACTCAATTAATTGACCTC